CACCTCATTAGATCACATTTAGTTGTCATGGTGTTAAGGGCCGAATGACCACTGGGTACTATTGCGCAATTTTTCCATTGTGTGGCGGAGGAAAAAAAAAGACTACAAAAAAACAAAGGCATTTTATGACTGAGCTACCACAGGTATCGTAGTAATAAAGAAAAACAGCCATTTCGTCCCAATTTTGCTGCATTAATTATAGCGATTCGTACAGCATACGCAATAATTAAATGCGAATAAACTACCGCATTCGAACTCTTGAAATTGTTTCAATAAATCCTTGCTTCTTCTGATGTGAATTAACATTGATACGAAACGTCATAACAGTAGTGGGGACTATTGCGCCCAGTCACAAGATAACTCTGTCTGATCTTCTAATTAAATAACATTAAAAAATTTTTGAACAAGAACGAAGTAACTACTCTTAATGCAAGTCGTTCATAAAGCCTATGATAAATAATGTTTCTCTTCTGAACTATTGGAACTCTCAGCTTATCTTCTGATGAAAATCAACATTAATGGCTACATCTTAACAAAAGTGGAGAGTATTGCATCGAACTCAATTTTATTTTCTAATTTTAACGATTATTAACTGTTGAAGGATCCGAAATAACAACCTATTACGACTTCGAAGACGTTAACAGTCTGGCGGTGTGTAGACTATGCAGAGCCACTCGCCCTCCGGGACAGTCTTAAGTCCCTCGCAGCTCATGTGCAACCATTCCTCGCACTACTTGCATTGTACCCTGTCACAAGTTTGTCTCCTATTGAATATGACAGTGTTCGACTGTTGAGGGAAAGGTTTAAAACGACCTTTCTCCAAATATTGAACCAAATGCTAACGCATTTTGCCTCACTCAAAAGAAGTAACCGACGGGTCATTTCCAGCTGCAAGTTCGTATGCATTGGCGATGACAAACGGGTCACAGCCCACCCCTCCCAGTTGTATTTGTTCAGGTGGCAGTTCTGCAAAAGGGTACTGTCCGTGAACAAGGTTCGATAACATTCAGGCAGCTGTATTTACATGGATGACGTAAGCTTCTTGCTGGACGGACAGTCGTAAACCCGCAAATGTTCATTAATCGACGTTGAACAAACCCAGTGATAATAATAATGACTTTATTACAGTGTGAATTACATCTGGCAGCGGGGAGTCCCCAATGTTAATAGGGAACATCTAACTAGAACTATTTAAAATCAATATAAAATCGAAAAAGAAACAGATATTAAATAACATAATTATAAATGGCATTTACAAATGATGTACAGAAAAATCCGGTATCAAAAATTTAAATTATGAATTGCAAAGATGGCAGCCACCACATGCATCTAAGATGTTACTTAAATCAAGCCTACGTAACTGGGTCTTGAACTGCTTGAGACTGACGACCGATCTTCTTTATTTGATAACCTGCTTCAGAGTCTTGGGCTTAAATATATTGAATTGAACGTTTTCCATACGTAACAGTGTTAAATCTGTGTAGATGAAAATCTCTCTGCCGTAAACTGTAAGTGTAGCTGTCAGTCAAAAACATGTTACAAATTCACTGGGTAAAATGCCAAATTTTAGTGTCATTTAAGTAAAATTGAACAACTATTAAATCCAAAGACAAATTTAAGCCATGTTTACTAAACTTAAACATGACTTAAAATGTACCTTTGTTTAAGCGAGGTTTAAGCATTCTTAAACGCAAATTGAATCGACATTGAGATTTAAGCTATGTTTAAGTCAGTTTAACCATACTTAAATCCGTTGAAAGATGTTGGGTGACTTTAAACCACCTTAAATATAACGTTGAACCTATTGGGGAGATTTAAGGTCTAGTTAAAGGAGCCTTAAATACAGCATTAACTTTATCATAATATTTATGCCGTGTTTAAGGACCTTCAACACACATCAAACCTTTTGGCTTACCCCAAGTCTACTTTATGGACATAACCTTTCACCATAAGCAGACCACAAGCAGAAATTATTAAGAAAGGTGGTTGCATAAGGAAATTTAAGCAAAATAAGGTATACCAAACCAGTGGATAGTGTTTTTCGCAGGCTCTGATTGGGTACTCAAACTCAGGATAGTACATGCATGTCCTATCCACCTCCGAGCTCAAGCTGAATTGTGAAAAACTTTTTTTGCAGTGTTCTGAGAGATAATAAATTAATAATTCTTTTATCTCACTGGTTTGGTATATACTTCGCAGTTCGTTAAATATCCACCATTAGCCACCGCCACTACGGGGAATAATATTTATTGTTAAATATATTAAAAAAAACAACAACATATGAATGTAAATTGATGTTAATAACTGGCTAGTAAAATAGTGGCACTGCGTGGAATAAGGCAAACTGCCATAAGTTTTACATTGTCAAGAGTTAAATAAGCTCCATTAGAAAGACTGTGTATCCTATATGCAAAGTTATTTGCGTCCCACACACAAAGGGTATTAAAACTTCCCAGGCATTGGTTCCGGGGATGCCTCTTGAACCACCGAACACAAGCAAAATAATGCTCTCTTTCCATGCCATTGACAGTTAATTTGTGACACATGAAGTAATCAATTGTCCCATGGGATAATGGAGATGTTGCACTGATTAGTACTCTGGCACTCCTTAAAGTTCTGGACTCAGCTTTGGAGCCAAACTTTTCTGCACCAACAAAAATGGTTGAAAACTTCTTTATGGTGAAGTGAAGATAGCTAATGTCAATGTTCCTTTCTTCTGGATACAAAGCATGGTAAAAAAATTAGCAATTTAGCAATGTCCACTGATGTCAGTAGGTCTGTTTGGTAAGAGGCAGCGACTCTTATATTGGTATCGTCATACCACAAAACATTGGCAAAGTTGGCTCGCTTAGACAATAAGTAGTACTGTTGCACTTTACTCTCTGTTGATGCAGTTGTTCTTTTTTTCTCCCCATCTATCAAAGATTGGCATGAATTCTTCATGGTAAATGGTTGGTAGATTTCCTGCTGATGGCATTAGAAAGTGCTCCTTCAAGAAGTCTCGCATAAACCGAATTTCCACCGAACGATTGTTAGTTAGTGTGGATCCTATTTGTCCGTTCAAATGAAAATAACCAAAATCCAAATACTGGCCCATAGTCCAATAACACAGAACGTAGGTGGCAGTGAAGATGCATATTGCAGGTCAAAAATTGTTTTCCATACAATATTTCCATCTCTGTTTAGAAGTTCACTAGCAGAGCATCAGCTTTCTTAATCTCTTGCTTGGTGATAACTGACTGGCAAAGAATTCTGCATGCCAGAACAGATCTCTTGCAAACCCGGAGGTGGTTGTCTGGAATAATTTTATAAAGAGCATACATGGAAAATGTCAGAGTCCAATTCCTCCATTCTTCAGCTGTATAGTTCCCATAATTTGTTTCTTTTTTCCGTGGAATTCTCTCAATGGATGTTACTGTATTTAATTCTTCAATCTTCTTACTTAGTTCCTTTAGTTGGCCCTTGCTAAGTACATTCTCAGCCCAAAGCTTAAAGACATACTTGGAAGTTCCAAGAAACAAATTGTGTATTGGATCAATGACACGAAAACAAACACAGTCAAAGTATTCAAGTTTGCATGATGCACTGTAGTGGACGCCATACAAGCGTGACAGCCGGCCATATTCAGACTGGCTCTTAGCAGCTTTAAGCCTTTCACAGTTCCTGCTGACTCACTCTGTCCCTCCTAGGCCATGAAAGGCGGTCCTGAAATCCTAAGAAGTCCTTCTTTTCCCCAAGCCTCTAGTGAAAAGCTTAAAACACTTTGAACACGCTCTATTTGCAGAGTGTCCCACAAAGCCACAGGCTTTACGCGTCGTAGGGATGTCTGCTGCAACACAAAGTAGAGCAGCAACTACTCTAAGTGGAACAGAAGAAAGGCTGGTGGACATTAAAACTCCTCTCCACAGTCCATTGAGTTCATTAACACATGGATCTAAAAAGGTATGCAACTTTGGCTCACTCTCCAGAGATGGGATGATTCCTACTAAGATAACATTCTCAAATTTGAATCTTTGAGAACGAGGTAAGTTCATAATAACAAAATAAATAATACCAACAGAATAACTACTTCTTTGTTTAAATGGTTGGAACCAATCCACGTTTAGCATAAGTCCATATCAGCGCTCCAGATTGAAGGAGTGACTACCATCTTTCCACTTGAAATTCTTCCACTCTTCTCCATCATAAACATCACTGAGCACAGACTCTTCAGCTTGCGTTGTTCCCCACTGTTCACAAAGTTCTGGAATTCCTGTTCTTTGCAGAATGCTTTCTAGTTGACTAACAATGCTCTTCCAACAATACACTTTCAAAGGATAACACTTAGTGGCACCATTCTTGAGGATTACTTTATTAACAACCTCACTTCCACAGTGCTTTGCTTTCCCAAGGGGAAACAAAATGTTACTGCACTTCTACAAAAAGATGGTAGAAAAAAATGTGACACAAGGTTTCATCATTGATGAGGAGTATGTTCTTTTTTTTACCATACATAAGATGAATTTGTTTAAATACCAAGGAACCAAGACAGATGGCATGCGAGATATTAGAATTAATAATAATTTAATAATTTAATAATAATTTATAATAATAAACCTGAGTTTAATCCTGAGACAGGATTAATCCATGTTCAATGACACTTAAATATATCTTTTCTCCTTGTGAAATAGTCCGCGAGCACAAATTATGTTTAACCTTACACATTAAAATACATATGTTTTGTAGTCTCCTATTAAACAATGTTGGTAGCTTGGCTTGTCATTAAAAACAGCACTCAGCTCTCGCTCGAGTACCCTCTCTAATCTACCCGGGTGCAAGGCTCTGCAAAAATGCCTCAAAAGGTGGCAATATGTAAGATGAGGGAGAATGGCTGCTTTGTAGAGGTGTAATTTGGCTTCAGTTGGTATGAGATTCCTCAGAGTCAAGATCGCTCCAATTCTCTGGCTAGCTTTCTTACATACATTACTCATCATCGGCAGTCCATCGCAAGCGATGTTGAC